CCTCGAAGTAACTTATCACTATTGCCAAATAATAACTAGTTAGAAAAAATGCCAGAGAATAAATTATTATTTCCTGTTGTACGAAAAAAACCCTTTTTTTTCTACTAGTTGAATTTGCCAATTATTACGGAACTCTATGATCCTTCCAACAACAAAGCAAGCCTTAGACTGCGTAGTATGATTCTGTGTAAAATAGGTTCTTTGAATAAATCCTGAATTTTTTAGTAATTTTATTTTTATATACACTTTTGAATTTCAACCGTAGAGCCGTTCAGCCTCTAGAAAAGTATGCTCTGAAGTCTAGCTGGGATCGGGAGGTGGATCAAAGACGAGGTCTAGCCTAGGGTCTACTTTGGATATTAATGAATTCCAACGTAAGGTATGTTAGGGAAATTCATATACTCTTAGCAAAGCACTGCGTCAAAATCAGAGAGGCTAAAAGCACTAAAAAGATGATTGAATGCAAAATAGTTTTAAAATAATTAGTGTCCAATATCAATTTGGGCCGATGAATAGAACACTGGCCATCATCTGCCCAAAATTAAGTGAATTTTTTTCATTACGTTATAAAGCAGTAAAAGCAGAACTCGTTCATTTAACAACTTCAAACTCGCTAATTTCCCCGAGTCTATGCTTCATTTATTAACTTGCATTTCGTTGTAAATTAGTCATCTTCGTAATATTATCATATTTTTCCCCCAACCCTACGAACACTAAAAATATTGTTTGGCATTTCTTTCTGTTTGCCACTGCAATATCTATTTAAAAGACAAATCACTGAAGAACTGGCTCTACTCCGTCAGGACAGCTTCACCACCGACCCTTCGCCAACTGTTGTCGGTGTACCTTCGACAATCGGGCTCCACGGTCATGACATGGATCTGATTCGAAAGTGCGCTCAGGATCGTGCCGGAATTCCCACACGGCCTGTCCCCTCCACACGAAACCAAGCTGGCTACATTCTGTCTCCTCAACATACCAAACTGCCTTGTCCAACCAACAACCGAGATTCCTGCCAGAAGCATGCTGGCCGGTCAGATCACTTGTCCGATCTGGGATCTGTCAGGATGACCCACCAGTTTTCCTCTTCCACGACAGACCGACATCGCTCTCTTGAGCCCAGTCGACATGCTCCAAGCCTTGCTCCGCAGCATATGACCTCTATTTCAGGCAGTGTAGCCTTGACACCCGTTGCATATACCCCTTCACTAATGCCCACCAATGCAGGACAGCTTCTGGAAGGGTATGCTAGGCCTACCAAATTCTCCCTCTCTTCAGGCCATAACAAGTCCCCGGCTGCCTTTTTGCGTCAGCCTGGAGATTACGCCTCTATAAGCCAAAAGGTGAGTTTCCTATTTTTATGTTTTGCTGAAAATGGGTTAATCCCATCTTCAGTAGATTAACTCAAGATAAGGTGGCTCCAAAGGGCGAGGTGAAATGGTGCAGACTAACAATTAAAATCGGAATAAAAATGGTATGCTTTGTAATCAGTCACAATTTGTGCGAGTTGTAACTAATAAAAAGTACCCTAATATAATATTTAGATATCATTTTACAATGAAATTGAGAAAATGAATAACTATATAGCCTGTATTGACCTTAATTCGTTTCAGGTGGTGAATTTTCCCCCAATCATACGATTAGACCTTATTCTACGATTGAGTTTTACATTGCCTTGCTTCCCAAAAGGTACTCTTATCCAGGAAGGAGAACACTACATTTTCGACCTTGCCTAGTTCGCAGGACTCGAACCATGACCTTTTTTGTGGATGTATTAGTGAGAAAAGAAGGTAATAAGTTGGATAGATACGTATATAGAAAACCACCCACGCCGGTTTCCTTATTAATTTTTTCCGAACCATAAATACAGAGTCAAGTTTGGAGTTATGACGTCTATGATTGTCAGGAGTCTGCGTTTAGCAGATGCAAATCATAGAGACCAGGAGATTGGTGGATTGAGGGACCTATTGTTTTAAAACAATTAGCCATCAGGACTGATAGACAATTACATATCAATTGTAGTTAACAAGATTAGTGGATATTCCTATCAGGTACGAGATAGACAATTTGACAATTCTACACGGTTCCTGATTTTGCCTTTCTGTCAACTTGCCAAAAGGTTGGGTGATCTAGTGAAGGAATGGGACAAATGACAATGTATAAAGAGCAATTAACACTTTCTTTAGTAGTTCCTTCGTTTAGAGAATATTCATTCCCTCTTTCTGGATCAGGCCGCTACAAGTTGTTGTGCTCATTCATAAGAGACAATGCGAACAGAAAACCGCTTGTAAAGGTATGTGGGTTCAAAAATCTGAGTTCGCTGAACACATTTTACCAATACAGGACACTCAATACACTGGTCCATAATACAAAGTTTTTAGGGTTGCGGGTACTTCACATCAAAGCGTAAGATTAGTCAGTCTATAGAAATTGACAAAGCAGCCAACGTTCTGAATAGGAGGAACGAGTGTAGAGAGGTAAGTAGGAACTATTTGTGCCTGTTGGATAAACTTAAGGAAAATGAGATAGAGGGTGTGCAGGAAGAGCTACTGAACAAGCAAAGGAGGCTGGATTAGACTCTAATCTTGCTAGAACTATCACACTTTCCATGACATGAGCATTACATACACACAATAGACGATATCCCAAGCCCAATACATCAAAACACGGTTCAACATTTGAGGATCGTCCACCAGATTATTAAGGCAAGGAAACAGCTTTCACTAAACGCCTTTCGGTTCATCTGCCAGCAGGTAGATTAAAGTTGGAATAGCCAAACAAATTATGGGATTTCTCATTAAGATCGCGATGTTAGGGTGTATAAAAAAGCGACTATGGTTACAGCCGGCCAGCTTTGTTCTTGGTGTGGTATATTTTCGCTCAATTTCGTAAAGTATGGATACCTGGTCTGCTGATGTTCGTCACAGTACAGACATAAGCTTAGCACAGTTTTATTGAGATCGAGGACTTCTTCGAAAATTCAACAGTCTTCCCTTTGCAGGAATCATCATTCGGTTTTCGGTGAGACCACATCACGAATTCGGTTCAACCAACTTTCCCTGCAATATTTCATTAATGAATTCTTCGAAGCCCAATATTTCTTCATTAATGCAATTTATTGTTGGCAAGTGGGATCTAGAACATGAAATATGTTTTTACAGGGCATGGCGAAATAAACTTAATGCAAATAGATTCGTTGTTTGCGAGAGATTGCCTAGACTTTCTTCTGGAGGGTAGCCTCGATTCTTCGTCAACTTAAGCCCAACCCTCTGATGTATATTGGGGGACAGTTTTACGATCACAGCTTTGCAATCAGATGATAAAGACGAGATTTTCTAAGGATGGATCTTTGATTAAACACTATCATAAATTTGACTGTGCTAAGTACATTCTATTGACTTGTCTTTTCATTTCGATTTGATACCTCTCTCTCCTCATAGAGAGTGCTGGGCAATATTTGGGCAACATTCAAGGCATCCATCGAGAAAGAAGGTTTAAGTTTAGCTGAATGACTGACAAAAATATTTGATCACTAATCCGGAAGTCAAGCAATGGCCGTCTAATCCTCCATTAACGATAACATCTTTCGGAAACTATTAGTTTTTTTATACAGTCTAATACACCTATAAAATTTGACTCTGCAGAAAGGCAGACTAGTTATCAGCATACAGAGCCGCAGTTCCAGCCTAATGACCACGTTAAATTTCTTTATTTCTTCCTTTGTATGCTCTTGCTTGGTACAATCAATTTCGCCAGATAAATGTTAAATGCTAAAGCAATGATCTGGTGGCTATCTTGTTAATCATGCTTTATTGAGACTCAAGATGCTTTAACTAATAAATCTATTTATATTATCACTAACATAGAAATTTAGTGGAAGGAGAGCAACTTTGGCTTAGTCACTTAGCTTCAAGTATGAGGAACTTCTTCAGTGTTGGTATACTAGATTTGTCTCCTTAGCCATAGCCATAATTCAGGTATATCCAGAAGATATGAATTCTATCTTTCCTTTATAACTAGGTATTATTTTCTTGGCCTATCGACGTTACAAACCAGGAATCTTGCGACAATCAGTTTATGATATTACGATACTTTACTTAGTACTACTCACTAGTATCTGTTCAATAACGAAATATTACGGAGTTAGGTTATTAAAATACAAGTTGCCTCTAAAAGTATGATCCAACTACGCGAATACCCGAGGATTGATAGACGATGAGCTAAATTCCATTTTTGTCCAGTTGTTCACGATGTTCTCAATCACATGATGGTTAGACTAGCAATATTGAGTTTAAATAAATTCTCAATTTTGCTGGCCAATTTCATTTTCTATTTGGTCACACAAAATCGTATTCAATATTCTCTCTCTATGAGTTTTATGGATACTTATTATGAATGTTATACTTTTGACCTCGCGAACATATGCTATTCCCATTTCTCCTGCTTTCCTAAGTTTCATTTAGTAAAGAATGGTTAAAAGGATTCTAGAAGTTTTGTGCTTTATCATCGTGTTGTAGGCAGGAAAAATACACAAATATTAGATTTTTTACCCTATTTCGTTTAGGGCTCTGAAGTACTGATAGTTAAATTACCCTATAATGATATGTGTAAGCCTTACGTTTCGATTAAATTTGCATGGCATTGCTTCCCGAAAAGTTTTCTTATCCAAGCTTGAGTAGACTACAATTTTTATTTCGTATGAACTGGTCTCTTTAGCACCC